GTGTGCCCACCGCACTTGTTCAGTCTAATATGAAATCCATTATATTCCAAACGCGGTAGCCGCATTGTCGGTAGTGAAAGTTTTGAGTTTAATTTAACGTTAATTTTATTTGTTTACAAAATCAATATTGTAATTAAAACGAAAACAATTTTTGTTCATTTTTAAACGACTTCAAAATAGGAGGAGGTTCTCAATTCGTCTGAATATTTTTTTATTTTTTTTTTCTATATTGTTGTATAAATACCTGTGCCGACTCTGTTCTTCGATCTTTAGCGCTACGTTGTGTCTAGCACCTGACTCATGATCGAAACATTTCCATATTTATCTAGGTATGCAGCTGACGCGTAGAGGAAGCACTTAACGAACGCTTCGAGACTTTCTAGACGGTCAAGAATGTACTGGTGAAGAGCTGGATTTGTATAAATACCGCGAGTTGGTCGATAGACGTTGTAACGGTTGAAACCGTTATTTCGACACAATCACCTCTTACTCAAATGTAATTTGTCGTATACTCCTTTATTTTTGATTTGGTTGACAGCGACAATCAACTTGATTTTATTTTAATCTAGGTCATCCGTTGAATTAGATGATTCTTATTTATGTTAGTGGCCGTCTGATTTTATAAGGTATGTTTTAATAATAATATTTATGTTATTAAATATATATATTTTGTGCAAGGATTTCTTGAACAATTTGTCAAAATTTAAACATAACCTCAATATCAACAATGAATGACATATGTTAGTTTTATATGAAATTATAAATTATCTTTTGGAATAAGATTTTATGCTTTACTATATTTAAATATATTAAATAAGATTTTTTCCTTTTCATATTCATTTTAGTCTCTGTGAAATTATTCATTTAATAGTTTGAAATTATTCATTTATTAGTTAAAGCATTTTATCTAAATCCTTTTTAAATTTCCTTTCTCCTATGATAACATGTTAACGCTTTTTAGCTAATGGCTATATCTAGACGGTTTTGGTCTCATCTCTAGACGGTTTTGGTCTCATCTCTAGACAGTTTTGGTCTCATCTCTAGACGGTTTTGGATTCATCTCTAAACGTTTCATCTCTAGACGAATTCGATTTCATCTCAAGACGTTTCATCTCTAGAGAATTTCGAGTTCAAGTTCGAATACTGAGGATTATTCATGTTTCACCTCTAGACAGTTTTGGGTTCAAAGACAGAAGAACCATTTATCCTGAAGATCAAAGATCATTTACGGTTCATCTCCAGACCAAAGAATACCTACCCAAGAAGCGAAACTGAATGAGTTTTCGTATGTACCAAAGTAAGGGAACTTAATACACTGGGAAACGTATAAAAGTTAATCAGTTTTTGTCGTTTGGTTCATAATTATTAAAACACATACTAAGTAACAATGACAGATATAAAATTCTTACTATGTTCATTATGTCAAATACATTATTTTAATAGCGAAATAAGTACTCTAGGTACAATAATGACAGTCACTACACAATAGCGAAAGCAGATGACCTGGTCATTCTGCAAATAGAATAATTATGGAACAGTGGTGCAAGGACCATTTACTGTCTATCAATCTCAAGAAAACAGAAATAATCTTTTTTACTAGGAAAATAATGAACATGGAATTAAAACCTACAAAGCTCCTAAACACAAAACAAAACTTTGCAACAGAGGTGAAGTACTTCACCTTCGTTGCAAGGTAGCACCTTTGACAACAAGTTAACATAGAACTCACAGTTAGAAAACATAGTCAAAATGGCATACATAACGTATGAATAATGCCACCACATACTTTGATTTTCTTTTACTATACGGAGAATGGTCGCACTGCGCAGCTTTCTGAGTGCCTTTTAAAAGGAGATAGAAAACTCCGCCATTTTAAACCCTTATTACGTGTTGCCTACATCTTGGCGCAATATTTTTAATAGGTGCGTTTTAATTATCCGCTTCTGCTTCGGAATTGTCGGTTTTCCTGTTTTAATCTGACAGGTTAAAACGACTAAACCGACAATTCCGGAAGCAGAAGCGGATGATTAAAACGCACCTGATATTTTGCTTGCTGCTGTCAGTGTCAGTGAATATTATTTTTGAAGTCACAGTTTATTGCTAAAGAATCAGTTAGCTCACTCGGACCAGTTGAAAGTTCCAAAATAACATCCACTCCAGGGGGTCGATTCTCGACTTGTAGGAACCTTTTCCTATAGGAATTTGTGACACTTTCCTATATGTAGGAAAATGTCATGAATTTTCGATGTATATAAAAACGTCAAAAATTCCTATAGGAAAATATTCCTACGAGTCGAGAATCGACCCCATGGGATACAAATTCAGGATACGCAGAAGACTGCTGTTTTATTATAGGCGGTTCATATATTGTATTATCCGAGTTGCACAGTGTATAAACTGAAACATTGAGATCAAAAGTGCTGACGCAGAGTAAGCGATCTGATTCTTTAGTTGTAAACTGTGTCACAGGGTTCAAAATGGCCGCGCCCTATGTTGGGCGTGTCGGACCTCTCTCTTGCCTCGTTTAGTAATCAAAGTATGTGAATGCCACTAAACCGTGGGGCGCACCTGGGGTTTCTCCCCCAGAGTCGTCACATGGACTTACATAGCCATCATAAGACCTATGCTATATAACATACGGTGCAGTTGTCTGGGTACCGAAAATCCAAAAATTGACAGCAAAATAGAACAAATTCAAATAACAACATGTCTCAACATAACAGGAGTCATAAAAACCACACCAACCAGAGCCATGGAAGTCGTTCTTAGTCTCACTTCCCTTGGTATTACATCAAGGAGGTTGCTCTGATGACAATGATATGCCTTTGCACGGTTGTAATAGAACCTGATGTACGATCTGGTGAGGCGAGACATCACTTTTGGCAAAAGGCGCTCGATACGCTCCCACTGCTTCAAGCGAATATAAACAAATAGAAGAGCCGGAAGTGACAGGTACGATTCATATCTATACCAATGGTTCTAAAACAAGATAATGCTGAGCATGTGAAATATACTCCAATTCCTTAAACCTCAACATAAAATGGGCTGTGAACAATAGTGCAACTGTAGTTCACGGAGCTCACAGAGGTTCTCATAGCAGCAAAAGAAATCACCAGAAACAATATTACTAGTAGAAACATGCTCATTTATACAAACAGCAGATAATCACTACTTACCCTGAACAGATTACGAATTAGGGTTATTACTAAAATGTCACGAAGCTTTGGCAAGAGTATTCATCTAAGTAATCACCTTGAGATGGATCAAAGGTGACGCCACATCAAAAGGTAGCCTCTTATTGCTGATTTACTAGCCAAGAAGGCGGCCAACTAAATACTTTTTGGACCTGGCCCTTCTATTGGACTGACAACATCGGTAGTGACAGACCTAATTAAAGAATATTCCCTTGTGAAATTGAAGAAAAAATGGGATGAAACAAGAAACTGCTGAGTTACCAGGGATCTTTCAAGTTATCCTAACAACACTACAACAAACAAATACTTGAATATGACTAGACAGAATCTGCATCTGATCACAGGTATTCTGACTGGTCATTGCTAAGTACGGAAGCATCTCCATATCATAGGGCTGTCAGAATCCACACCCTGCACGGGATGCGAACAAAAAGATGAGACCATTGAACATATCATCTACGATTGCCAATAGCTCTCATTTATTAGAAGATTTATTTTCGACGAGTATTAGCTAACACCGGCCGATATAAGAGAAGCACCTCTTGGCGACGTTGTCAACTACATTAAATCTGTAGGATGGCTCACGAGCTAGGAGGTGCCTATAATTTTAGGATACACAATGGGCTTAGTGAGGCTTAAGTGCAGTGGGGTAACCCACTCTCTACATTTTACATATTCAGGAGTACTTTACATCAGAAATGAGTTTCGATTGCATCCTAATAGCAGCGAATTGGTTCCTCGAAGTGAGTTTGTCATATATTTTAATTATTATTTTGTATTGTTTATTTACTGTTTTAATTCGAATGGTTTGAAAAACAAAAAAATAACATATTTAAATAAAAGAGTAAGAAATTGAACGATGCATAATACGTAGGCGTAAATTATCTTTATAGGTAATGATTTAGAAATTAAAAAAAAAAAGATTGACAGCTAGATGCAAGAACGTTCAATAAAATTTAGGAATAACACAATGAATTTTTTTTTCATGTAATACAAATTTTAAAACTATTAAATTTCTAATTACTACTTAGTTAAATACAACTACTTAACTATACTGAAATTTTCACAAAACGCTAATAATAATATACCAAACGATGCTCTACATAAATTGACAGTTATATTTGACGTTAAACCACCTCTAAAACACTGAGAAAACTTGGCAGTTTTTTGTTCACGAATCGCCCATTTAGTGTCGCTTCTTGGGTAGGTATTCTTTGTCCAGACTATTAAATTAGAAATGTTCTGTAGATTGGAGTGAAGAAATACCCGATTTTACCTTTTAACTTACCTTATGTACCGACGATTGTAATAAATAAATTATATTTGCGAGTTATAATAGTGCCTAGGTTTCAAATATATTAATTAGTACGTTATAAATAAACTGTTTTTAATAATAAACTATTTTCAAATTAAACAAGTGTTGCCGTATGTTCTTCACACTTCACATTCATGTTTCTCATAAACCATTGATACTTTACTTTGGTAATAAATCAGAGTTTTCAGATACAGTTTTCTTTGATTGGCGCGTAGGGCCAGATTTAGATGTGTGGAGGCCCTGGGGCTACAAGGGAGTGGAGGCCCCGATGTGTTTTTCAAATAGGTTAAATAATATTTTTCTTGCAAGTGTTTCAAATATTTATTTATTTAGTCGTATGATGATACAAAAAGATCGAACAGTCAATCACAAATCAAATCACAATAAGTAAAACATATTAAAGTCTCTAATGCGAATGGTACCTTGCGAGCTTTTTTCAACGAAAAATCATTGGTGATTTCGTTAAAATTCCTGCGGGAGCATTAAATCACTTTCAATGCTAAGTAGAGATAACTTTGATAGGCGGTTTTGTCCCATCGTAGTTCCTATTCTATTTTTATCATTTTCATTTTTGAAAATGAGTGCTCTGCAGTGCAATTTGACACCTTTAATACCAAGAACAATCGCACCGTGATTTCTATGTTTGGGAATATAGTTCTGTAATTTTAATTTTCAAGAATTTGTTTTGTATAAGTTTATCAAAGATACAAATTGAACCAACTCATTAACAAGAAAAGGTTCTAAATCGTCTTTGTAAACTTTTACCAATTCATCTGTTGCAGCATACAAATTTGCAACATCCATCTCCTCTAAGTGATTAAGAAATCCAAATTTTAAACGTATAGCATCATATGCATGCAATCTTTTAGCAAGAGAAACACATAGCGGATCAATCACTGGGATAAAGCCTGACACTTTTAATGTATCTTTTGGTGACGAGTTAGTATCATCTTGTGCTTTCATATAATCGATCGAATCCTCACAATTCTAGTTTTGTTGCGAGATTGCACGTACTGGTCAGTACTTGATATTCGTTTAGCAGCTTCTTCGTATTTTTCAAACTCGTCTCTTTTGGATTCATCAAATAATTTCAGTGATTCCAATGCATACATTGCAGACTCAAAAATCATCTTTGGGTCCTGCAAGATCTTGTTTGTATCGTTAAATCGATCCAAAAATGTTGTTCCAAAAGATGGCAAATAGAGCGGTTTCGAGACAACTCATCTGCTCCAAAAGATGCGTTGCTTCAATTCTCACGATGTTTTTTGCTCTTTATCACAAGATATGCTAGTAAGAGCTTCTTTTATTTCAGAATAACCGTCTACAAGAGCTTTCGTAGCTTCAGCTCAACAAGACCAGCGTGTATCGCTTAGCCTTTTCGACACGTAAAACTGATTTTTTGTTTTTTTTTTCTAATAATTTTTCAGTTATAATTCGGTATATTTTTGTGCTTGCGGTGAAAAATGTTTATAAATTCTGAACGAAATCAAAGAAATCATCGGCCGATGTTTAAGCAATAGGAGCAGCCTTTCCAACTGAATTAAGAAAATGATCACCACATAGTACAAACATTTATAAAGGATTTTTCTTCAAAATAAGAGCTTTCATGCCTTTGTATTTGCCGCTCATATTTATAGCATTATCGTATGATTGGCCGCAACAATCAAGAATGTCAATTTGATGGATGCCTAAAAATTTTAGTAAAGCGCTAGTTTTTCCACAAATTGGTAAAAAGGTCAGAAATAATTCCTTTGGCATCGATCCTTCAATATATTGAAAAACTATATGAGATTCGTCCACTAATACCGAATAATTTTTATATTTTTGAATTCTTAATATTATTTCATCGAGAACATAATCACTTATGGACTTAATCAGTTTTGCCTCCCTTTATTTGTATGCTCTTTCAAATGGTTTGAGAGAAGTGGTTCATATTCGGCTAGCAATTCCAGAATACCGAGATAATTTCCATTTCTCAGTGAATAAATAATTTCATCGTCACCTCGGAAGGCTAATCCGCGTTCAGCAATGAATTTAACAGTACTGACGATAATTCTGAGGATTTTCCGCTAATACTGAATTTCTTGTGCCTCCTGAATCGCTAGCTCTTGATCAATGCGTCCTGTTGTTCCCCGTTGCACAAAACTCATTACCGATTCCAATAATATTAAAATCATATAAAATTAAAATTACTAGCTAAGTTTTCAATTCGTAATATTCGTTGTATAAGAATGTTTTTTTAATAAATAAAATTTATGTGGAGGCCCCTCTTTTGTGGAGGTCCCGGGCTGTTGTTCCTGTTGCATTTCCTTAAATCCGGCTCTGTTGACGCTTGTTGTAAAAAAAGAGGATGGTCATTATGGATTGATGTATTATACTATTAAATAATCAATTTTTAAACTATAAAAAATTATTTCTTTAAATACCTTACTTTAAATATATCAAAATATATTTTGGTATTTCTATTAATCAAATAAAAACGCTGTGAACATATAAAAGTAAGACAGCGATAAGAATACGAACAAAATTGTCGCCATTAGGAAGTTGCCGTGTTTGTTCATTATAACTTAGCTCCAGTTTGCCGGTTAATACATGTTTGGAAGAGACTTTTCTCAAGAAGTTTTTAAAGGACGAAACTATCTAATTTTTAGAGATATTCCTCAGAGACTAAGCTTTTTGCCTTACCTACATTTAAAAGTTAGCTGGTTATTGAGCAAAACGGCGGCCGAATCGTCATGCTTCTAAATTTTAAATAACCGAATGCAACTAAGTAAAAATAGCTTGGTATTCAATTTTTGAGTTCTGTGAAAGAAAAACAGGAGTAAATATAAAAAAAACAAGTCAACGAGATTATACCGGGTGCCAACAGTAACCATTATAGATACATAGTTGGTAAAAGGAAAGAAATGTTAATTTAGAAGACAAATTTATGGGTTATTTCCATAGTAAGATATCAGGTCTTCTTTTCGAGATAAAAAAAACCATGACTGGTGATTTTGTATTATTTAATTAACGAATTTGCTTCTGCTATCGATACACTTCCCGGACTCGGTTATCACAGACGTGGCCGACTAGGAAGAGAGAGAATACAACTAATCTGTCTACGATGGTAAACAGTCAAACACATTATAGAGGATGACAAAGCTAGACATTCAATATCTAGCAATATCTAGGACCTGACAGTATCTATCCAGCCCTACTTTAGAGCAGTCTGGAGAAACTCAAATCACACCTGGTACGTATATTCACACTTAATGCTGGAAGGATGGAATACACTGCCCAAAAACATACCGACCAATTAGTCTGACCTAGTTTTTCATAAAGACATTGGAAAGGCTCTGCGAAAGATATATCAGATATGTGGTGATTACAACAACACCACAACACCCAAATTACGCATATACCCCAGGCAGATCTACTTATTCAGCCCTTCACCTAGTTGCCGGCCAGATAAAAGGATCTCTAGACAATAAGAAGTCCGCATTGGGTTGTTTCATAAAGATAGAGGGTGCTTTTGACAAAACTACCTTTCCCAAGATAATATATTCATTAACAAACAGAAATGTTTCACAGATGGTTAGTGGGTGGATACATAACTTGTTCTCAATGCGAGCAGGACACATAAGTGTAGAAGATGTGAACATAAGAGAATTGAATGGGAGGGGATGTCAACAGGTAGGGGTCTTATCACCTCTACTGCTGAACATGATCCTCGATACCTTCATCAGCCGCCTCAACAATGACAGTCTCTACACAATAGCGTATGCAGATTACCTGGTCACTGTGCATTACGAAATTTTAAGAAAATACTCTACAAAAGAATACAAGTTCCTTTCAAAAAATATAAAACAGTGGTGCAAGGACCATTCACTGGCTATCAAAGACAGAAATTTTCCTTTTTACAGAAACAAATAATAAAAATGGAACTAAAACCTCCGACTAGATCTCACCTCTGACAATAAATTAACATGGAACTTACACGTAGAAAATAAAGTCAAAAGAGCACAAGAGCTTATGAACAACTCCGCCGAATCGTGGGGCGCATCCAGGGTTTGTCGCCCAAAGTCATCACAAGGACTTACACGGCGTTCATAAGACCTATTTTAACATACGATACAGTTGTCTGAGTATCGAAAATTCAACAATTGACAGCTAACCGTAGACTAGAACAAATTTAAAGAACAGGATGTCTTAACATAACAGGAGCCATGAAAACTGACTTCAACTAGAGAAGAGGAAGTCATTTTTAGTGTCACTTTAGAATACGCACTCTGCAGGGGGTGCGAACCAGAAGATGAGACCTGGAACATATCGTCTACAATTACCCGAAACTCTCATTTATTAGATGATTCGTGTTCAGCGAGTATCGGCTAACACTTGCCGATATAAGAAAAACACCTCTTGGCGACATTGCCAACTACATTTAATCTGTAGGCCTAGAGAACAACATTGCTTTTAAAGATAGAAAAATAAATTACTAATCTTTTTTGTCAAAGGTCAACATATCTAAGCCAAAATTTTAATTCGATGTTTCATATTTGAAAAGACTAGTTTTTCTTTAACATATACCTGTACTTTTTATTTCATTTTTGAAATCTATACTTTTTACTCTATCTAATGATTATAATGTTTTGATTACGATTTGACAAATTGACTGAAACAGTCAAATATTTTTATCATTCTGTTTTATTCGCAAGGTGCAACGTATATGGTGGGGACAGTCGAATCGACAGCAGCGTTCGCAGTGGACAAAGTAGGCATTAAATCTGGATTTTGTTGTGAATAAATTAATAAAAGAATTTAAATATCTCATGAACGGTTGGATTTACGAAAATTTTTTGTTCCTGCTAATTTGTAGAGAACAGTTTTCTCCGTCGAATGGTGAATAACTAATTTTCCTAAGGTTATTAGTTTTTGAGTTTTAACAAAAATTTAAATTGAATTACATTTAATTTTTAGTTATTACGCCATTATATCAAAAACTATTGAGTTTTGGAAAATTTTGAACGAATACAAATTTGTTAATCATCGTTTTTTCTTGCCAACAAAGCAATTCTAATACTTTAATCTTTAACCATTCAGAAGTAATAAGGATAAATCTTCACGGCATGCGATAGCCTGAATATGACAAAATCGCTAAGCAAAATACGGTTTGTTTTTCTCGGTCTTTCGACGTTTTGAGAGTTAACCGTACTTATTCTATACGAAAAATGGGGCATTCTACTTATTGCGTTGTGAATTGCAAAAATACAGGCAAAAATAGTAGTTGCAAATTTTATACATTTCCAACTGCCAGTTGGAAACTAGAAAAAAGAGCGAAATGGATAGAAGCAGTTAAAACAAAAAAGTAAGTAATGTACAACCTAACTTTACCTTTTCTTATAATTAAAATAATATTTTTATAGTCTTGATGGATCACCGTGGATTCCAAAACCAAATGATTGCATTTGTAGCGACCATTTTATTGGAGGTAAAAAATCAGAAGAGGAGGCAAGTCCGCGCATTTTCTAAATTCTTTCACTTCTCTGACATGATTTGCCCTTACCAGTTGTTTTCCTTTGTACAAAGTTTTAGGTTGAAACAATATCTCATGAGATATTGCCTCAAATCCTGTTTGAATAATGGCAGAGAATTTATTAAAATATTAATAGTTTAAATTTTTAAACTAACCTTTTTTTGACAGTTAACCTAATACTATTCTTATGTTCTTCTTTATTTTTGGCCTTTATCTATTCAGCATTATTTTATTTAAAATAAAATGCATTTCATACTCATTAAAATTACTTATACTTACTATTTTTAATCGTGATATGTAATATTTACTATTTCTTTAATATTTATCACGTATTACACTTATATTTCACAGCGATTTTTTTTTATTTTGTATTTATAAAAATTTTACATGTAATTCATCATTGATAGGGCCAGATTTAATGCGGCACAAGATGTCGCTTCCTTTGCGC